AATTTTTTTTTTCTTATACTTTCCATTTTCTTTCTTTTTTATTATTTTTTTTTTTTGTTTATAAACACTGCTAAAAGAATAAATCAATATTTCAAATATATGTATTGGTTTTTATATAATGGATAGTGATATATTATTTTTCTCTATTTGGAGAAATGTTTATCTTAGATGGTTCATAAGCTCAAAGTTGGAGCAGTTCAAGAAATATTCAGCAATTACCTATAATTCAAACGAAGAAATTAAAAACGATAAGTTTATAGATTATAGAACGACAGTGGTTATTAATTTTGCAGAGCCTATCGAAGAGGGATTACTATTACATAGCTCAGCTGAAATTATTCATTTTGCCAATGGTCACAATCAAATAATTCCAAAAGATACCCTAGTCACAATCAAATAATTCCAAAAGATACCCTACCAAACAACTCATTAAAGTCCATCAAATTTGGGAATCTATTTGATCAAATCGTTGATTAGGGGGTATTACCAAATAATGGGAAATTAAAGAAACTTGTGTTTGGGAATAACTATAACCAAGAGTTAGTTGAGGGCGCAATTCCACAAGGTGTCGAAGAGTTGTTTTTAGGAAAATCTTTTAATAAACCATTGTATGGAGGTGAAATACCAAACTCTGTTAAAATATTAGATATGGGCGAGCGTTATAATGAACATCTTTACAGTGGATCAATTCCAGACTCTGTCGAGGTGTTGTCTCTATCCTGGAGTTTTAATATGCCATTAAAACAAAGCTATACTTTCAAAGGGGAGTTTAAAAATGGTTCCATTCCACCTAATGTTAAAAGTTTAGACTTGGGTCTAAGTTTTAATCAAGAGCTTCCCAGTGGCATTCTTCCTTCATCCATTACCAATCTAATAATTGGTTCAAAGTTTAGTCAAATGATAAAGCATGGGTCAATACCTGACAGTGTGACCTCTCTCACATTGCCATACAAATACAATCAAACAATATTTGAAAATATCTTGCCAGAATCAATCAAAGAGTTAACAATGGGCTATACCAAACAAATAAAACCAGGAGTGTTGCCAAAGTATCTAGAATCATTAACTTTACTTTCACTTACAACACAGCTTTTACCCAATTCACTTCCATCAACTTTAAAACACCTCACTCTTAGCAAAGACTATAATCTACCTATTGAAGAGGGTGTCTTACCATCAGGATTGAAAGTTCTTGTATTTGGAGATAGTTTTAATCAAAAGTTATCGCCAGGTGCAATTCCACAACAACTCGAGGTTTTAAAATTAGGATTTTATTATGATCAATTCATTCCAATGGATTTACTCCCAAATACAGTTCATACATTAGATTATCGTTGCTATTCACCTAAACACCCGATTCCAATTCCACCATTGTGCAAAGATTTAACAATTCCAACACTTGATCCAGAATATATCAAATTCATTCCACCATCAGTAACAACTCTTACCGTTACATCTCCGTGTACACTTCCTCTCCCAATAGATTTATTACCACCATCAATTAAAAAACTAATTATATCACAAAGACCTCATCCTATATTATCTGGTTCCATCCCACAATCTGTTGAAACTATTATTTCAGATGGATTTATTAAATTTGATTCTGGTTCAATCCCTTCAAGTTGCAAATCACTTTCAATCAATATTCCTAGTTTTGGTGACGAATTATTGCTTCCTGACATTATTCCAAACTCTGTTGAATATTTAGAATCAAATAGCAATTGTTTCGCTAAAGGTTCAATTCCACCTTCGGTCAAAACATTAAATGTAAGTAATTTTTATTAAAACTATTACAAAACAATGTATTATATAAACTAATTTTTAAAATAATATTAGATACATCGTCTCATCAAAAACAAAAATTCTTATATTCCCTCTACTGTAAAGACATTAATATTGGGTGACGAGGTAAAATATTTGGAATATTACTCAAAAGTTATACCCGACACAATCGAAACAATAATTTGTGAAGACCATAGCTCTCCTTTTTATCCAATACCCTACGACCATTTACCAAAATCACTAAAAGAATTAAGAATAAAAAGCAATAATTTGAGATTAATCTAACAAAAGAGAATAATTAAATTAATTTTAAAAAATAAAGATAGTTTATTAATCATTCTTTAAAAGAATGGTTTCTTTATTAATGAAAATTTTGTTTCTTTTAATACCTTTTCACATTCTAATTTTGTTAAATTGATGTAGTGCACTAAAATTTGAAAAATTTTGACATAGTCTTTTTTTAAAGCAATTGATATTAATTCTTTTATTTCTAAAAAACCTTTTGAAGTCTTTTGAGAGAATCTTGAAAATAGTATATTGAATTTTATATGGATAAGCCTTACTACATTTATGTTTCCAATTTGTATTAGATATCTTTAAAATTCCATTGTAAATTGAAAATTCTTAACCCCAATAAAGTATTTATTAAAAAACTCCATAAATTCAGTTGATACATGTGGATATAAAGTTTCTTTGATTGAATCGAGAAAAATATATCCATTATCTTTGAATATTTTATTATATAAATTACATTTATATAGGGTTATAAAATACTCCACTGAGGAAAACCGAATTGCACTTGTCCTGCCATAGATTTGAAATTCTAAATCTATATCTTCAAAGTAGCCTGGTATTAGGACTGGAAATTCTAAAGCTTTTGATCTCTTATTCATTACCCATTTTAAAAAGGACTGGATCATCAAAGTGTTCTTTTAGTTTCTTCCCAATAAAATTTGTGCATCTACCAATCGACTTTACCAGTTTCAAACAATGATATAATAGCATCCAGTTGGTTGTACATCTCGTCACAGATTAAACTTTTGATAAAATCGTAATTTAAACAAAAATGCACATTAGAGCGGACATAAAGTGATGGATTTAATAATGCTCTTCTTTGAAGACTTGTCATTAGTTTCTCGTAATGTTCGATTACTTGGAGATTTGAGATGTATTGCCAATTGTTATTGTTTTGTTGGAAATATTTGTCCTGGTAAGTTTCAAATAAATAATCTAATATTTCGGTCGATTAAATCGAAGCTAATATGTGGCCTTTTAGTGTATCCAATTTTTTATATTTTACAATTAAATCTATTAAACCTTTGGTGGTTATTAAATCTGCAACTTTGATTATAATAATAACCACCATATTAAATCCCGAAATACTTTGCTGAGGTACACATAAATTGATGGTTTGTATTGTTCAACATATTTGCAAACTTTACTTAAATTTTTACTTAATTTCATTCCTGATAACCACTTAACTGAGTTTGAACTTTATTGTTTTTGAAAATATAATTTTTAATTGTTGTATCTTTATTATTATTTATTATATTATCTAATTATCTTTATGTTGTAATTTTATTTCCCGTATCATCCTCGGCTTCAAATTCCTTTTATCTTTTATTTTTTAAAAAAAATTAGAAATTATTTTAAAATAATGGGTATGAAAAAATAAAATGAAAAAATTTTATTTTAAAAAAGTGGATGCCAACACTATTATTATGTGCATGTATTTCTATTTATTTATTTTTTTATATTTAAAAATAGAAAATAAATAAAATAAAAAAAGTATTCTAATATTTGATATATACTAAAAAATATTTGAATTATTATTTGGAAATTAATGGTAATACATATTTAACGAATAAATCCTCTCTTGAAAGCCATTCAGCATGCTTAACACCTTCGACAGTTGTTAAATTTAATTTACCTTGATTGGCTAAAGTTTGTAATCCAAAAGTATCATTTTTAAAAACAATTGATTCTTCCATTGGAACCATATTTAAATTTGAATCATAAGAACCAAATAATTCTGAAATCCATGGTACTACAATACCATCTTTAATATAAAAATTAAATTAAATTAAATTAATATTATTATTTATAAAAACAGTGGGAATAATATAAGTAAATTCTTACCTTGTGGTGAACCAAAAGCATTGAATGAACCTGAAATACTATTAATGAAATTTTCTTTGTAATTTGGGATCTTTTCTTCTAACTCTTGATTGATAATTGGTAAAAACATGTTATCACGAAGATATCTTTCGTGGTCAATATCGGTCCACCAATTGGCAACTGAGAAATCCTTTTGGAATGTCTTTGTGTATAAAAGGTTGGTTAATTCCTTATCTGTAAAATTACCAAACCAATAGTTATTTGTAAATCCTACACCATAACTAAACATTAAAATTTTTTATTAATATAAATTTACCCAGAAAAAAACCTCTATAATCTATACACCAGTAATGACTTACATTCCCATATGAACACCAGCTAAAGATACGAAATTATCAATATTTAAACCATAGATTTCGGTAATTGATCTTAAAGTTAATGCACCTTGTGAATGACCGATAACATGGAACCCATTATCGAAAGCATTATTATGTTGAACGATGTCGTTAATAGCTTGATAAACATCATTAACTTGCTTAAACATTGTTTTGGCTGATTTAAATCCATTATCAACACTATTAATATTGATGATAAGAAATGGTAATAAGTAAACTTATAATAATAATAAATAATAGATTACAAATTTGCAACAATTACTTTAAAGAAACAGCAATTTGGCCTGGGTTATATTTTTTAATAAATTCTAAATAATGGTTCCAATCTTGATAAGTACCACATTTATTGCTTAATGCAAAACCATGCATTAAAATAACTGGTTTATAAGTTGATGGTGTTGAATTCACATAATTTATATTAATATTAAAAATTATAAAAATAGTCCCCAATATTAACAATATTGAATTATTTTTTTGATTCATGATTTAATGTTTAATTAATTAGATATTAATTAATACTAAATATATTATAAAAATACAAAATAAAAAAAAAAGATTGGAATTACGGAAATGAAAAATAAAATATTTTGAGAAAAAAAAAAATAAAATAAAATAATTTTAAAAAAAAAAAAAAAAAAAAAAAAAAAAGTTTTTTTTTAAATTTCCCACAGAGTTCCGCTTTTTTTAGTTTTAACAAAACTAAAAAGAAGCACTAAATAGTGTTGATGAAGTGCGTGGTATTATAATAAAAATTTTCTTACTTCTTACTACCTTTCTTTTGAAAAGTTTAATTAAATTATCAGATTATTGGAAGATTTTTATTTTTATTTTTATTTTTATAAAATTTATAAAATTTATAAAAGTTTATAAACAATGTTTTTTTTTTATTTTTATTTTTTTATTTTTTTTTAATTTTTTATTTTCTATAATAAATAAAATGTTTGTTTTTTGATGCAGCGTAGGTATTCGTATAAAAAAAAATACTATATATTATCCATTATTATTATATAATAAATATATTTTTTATATAGTACAATATACTATAGTTTTAAAATTATAATTTTTTTTGAATATTTTTAATAATAATTATTTGATGGTGGAGAGTGTGATTGAGAAAGTCCTGGTCTTGGGGGTCTTGGAGGTATTGAAACTGGATTAGTTTTAAATGTTGATGATGAAGAAGGTTGTTGGGGTGATGGTTTATTTCTAGCTGGTATAGCAGGTGGAGTACTTTGTGAAATGGATCTTGGTTTAACTAAAGGTGGTGGTGAAGTTGAAAAAGATGATGTACCTGGTGGTGAGGATGGCCCCAATGGTGGTGGAGGTCTATTTCTTAAGGTAGAGTATTGTGGTTTTGGTGGAGCTGATGACAATGATGGTTGGGATGGTGAGGTTTTGGGTAATGGATAAGTTGTTTTATTTAAATTTACAAAATTTGATTTGGGTACGGGTGTTTCCTCTTGCTGTGAAGGTTGATAAAATTGTTGCTTTGGTGGTTTATATAATGATGGTTTTTTAATAGGCTCCACATATTGCTGTTGTTGTTGTTGTTGTTCTTGTTCTTGTTCTAATTCATAATACTCTCTGTCTCTTAAATGAACTTCATTAACTTCCATACATAACATTTTATCCAATTGAACCTGGTTATTTAATAACTCTTTTTGACCATCTAAAATAAAAGAAATTTCAATTTGATTATCCAATTTAAGTTCAAACTTTAATTCGATTTTTTGCTTTAATGTTGAAATTGTGCATGGTACTGGTACTTGAATTAAACGTCTGTCGATATAAAATATTTTGAGGGTGACTTTCATCTCTGATATTACAGCACTAATGGGTCTTGATGGTAGTTTTTTTGATGGTAATGGTGGTGGCTTTGGTGGCGATGGTTTATATAATGATATATTTGATGGATAGGAAGAGGATGATGATGATGATGATGATGAAGGTGAACCAAATGATGGTTTAGAAGGTGGTTTGGGTGGTAATGCAGAGTTTTGTGTTTGTTCTCTTGTAGGTGTTGGTGGTAATGAGGGAGGTGCCGATGATGGGGATGGAGCTGGTGGTGAAACAGAAGGACCTTTTAATACATAACTTGTTGGTGAGGTTGAAAGTTCAGTAGTTGGGGTTGGTGCCTGTACAGGTTGTTTAGGTTTACTTTGACCCTCGCTGACTCTTGGTGGTTTGAATAATAAGCCTAAAGGTATAGGTCTAGTGTGAAAATTTGATTGAGAACCATCAGCAATTTTTCTACATTGATCTTTAAATATCTGCATATCGGTTGGTTGATGTTGACACTGTATTGCTTGGGAGGCAACTGATGAACCAGCTCTACCTAATGCTAACGCTTTATTGAATAAAATCTCGGCCAATAATAGTTTATGATCCAAACCCAATTGTTTGTAGTCGATATATTCGTGACCTCTTAATTTTGAAACAGTTTCGTCGTAATCTACAATTGCATGATTTAAATCTCCACCCAAGTGATGTGCAACTCCTCTCATAAAATATGATGCTGCTAAATATTTGTCTTGTTCTATTGATCTATTGAAATAATCTATTGCGCTTCTATAATTATTTGATTTTATATACATAACACCAATATTATAATTGATTTTTGATGTAGCATCAATGGATGACAATATTCTTATTGACTCTTGTGTGTTGCCATTCTCATAGATTTCGATTGACTGGTTCCATTTCTTGATAGTTTGTTTTAGCATTCCTTAAAGGTTAAAAATTAAAATAATTTTATGAAAAAGAAAATTTCTTATAATTTTTTGTTGTTTTTTTTTAATAAAAACAGTGTTTTAAATAAATAATAAATAGGATAATAAATAAATAAATAAATAACAAATAAATTTATAGTTTTATAAAAACATGAAATAAATAAATAGTTTAAAATAAATTAACTGAAAATTAATTATTTGCAGTCTGGATTATGTGAATAAAAACAAGAAAATTTACAAAAAAAAAAAAAAATAATAAAATAAAAAAGTGTATTATTAGATGTGGGTGTGTGAAAAAAATAAAAACATACAAATTTTTATATATTATTTTACTATTGTTTAAAGAGGGTTTATTAATGTTGTCCTGTACATATTATAAAAAATAGTGGAATAAGAAAAAAATAAATTAATATTAAAAAATAACACGTTTAATTGTGTGGATTTTTTTTTTTTTATTATTTTTTATTATTTTTTTTTATTTTTTTTATTTTTTTTATTTTTTATTATTTTTAATTTTTTTTTTTGCTTTAACAACCCAAATTCTTTCTGCTCCGCTTTTTTTTTTTTTTTTTTAAAAAGAAAATGACAAATTTAAACCATATTTTACTTCAACAATACCCCACCCATATTTTGTCTTTTTATAAAAAAAATAGGAACAAGGCACAAAAACAAGATTCATACATTTTTTTTCTTATGAAAACTCACATAAAATCAAAAAAAAATAATGATATTTTTAATTTTAATAAGATTAAAAGATCTTTTTCCTATAATTTTTATTTTTATCCACACACATCACTTTTACCGTTTAGTTTTTTTATTATAATAAAAATCAATATTTTTATTTTAAATTTCATATTTACCTATATAAATAAATTTATTTTTATAATTCAAATAAAATAGTGATAGTGTCTACACTTTTTTTTTTTTTTTTTTTTTTTATAAAAATAAATTAATAAAGGAAATCAATATAGAAAATTTTTCTTTATTTTTTATTGATTACATTTCATTGTAAAAATTAAATAAATCGATTAATTAGTTTAAAGATGTAATTCATAATCATTTGTTTATTTATTATGGAGTGGGACCAATCATACAATTATTGTAAATGAATAAAAGAAGAGATATCAAATTTCTTATTATGTTAATATCGATATTAATATTTATAATTGCATTAACAAATATTGATTAATTAATTTATACACACAATATACAAATAAAGATTAAATGAGGTAAATAATAGAATAAAAATGTGGGACACACAACCACAGTGCATGCACTATGGTTAAATTTAATGTTATTTGTTTTAGTGGTGAGAAAGTATTAATTTTATATTTAAAAAAAAAATAAAATAAAAATAAATTAATAACAGATTTTTATTATAATTAATAATTAAAGAAATCGAAAATAAATTAAAATGGATGTTGAGTGTGTTTAATTGGTATTTATTTGATTTATAAAAAATATAAAAAAATAAAATTAAAAAAAAATAAAAATATTTTTTTTATTTTTTTTTTTTTTTTATTATTTTTAATTATTTTTTTTTTTTTTTTCATTTTTTAATAAATTTTTTTTTTATATTTTTTTTAATAAACTATTTGTAGCGTGTTGTTATATTACATTAATATATCAATACCATACAACAATATTTTATAGTTTTATTTCTTAAATTATTTTGTTTTTTTTAATTTTTATTGGAAAAAAAGTTTTTGATTTATTTTAAACAATAACAAATTTTTACATTTTATATTTATATTAAATATCATACATGTTATAAATGCTTACAAATGTAATATTCAAATTATTTTATTCAATAATAATATTAATTATAATAATAAAAAAAATAATAATAATCTATCAGATTTTTTTTTTTGTTTTTGTTATTAATTCAAATTTTATTATTTTTTAGAGAATTTTATTTTCAAAAGAGAATGTATTTGTCTACCCTCCAGAAATAGAAAAAGGTATAAAAGGTACAATATCAATATGTAGTTTAGATAAAGGGTCTATATATTTATGTTGGATACCAGATTTAGATCAAGATGATAGTCAAAATACTTCACAAGACGATAATGACAATAGTAATAGTAATAATAGTAATATTATATTACCTTCATCCCCAACATCATCATCATCATCAACTGTTTCAAATACATCATCACCAGCATCAGCAAATACAATGTTTAATAAAAATCCACTAGCAGCCAGCACAATTGTTGAAATTGATGACCAAAATTCATGGGTGGTAAGAGTGCATATTAAAGAATTAAAGTCAATTAAAAAGTATACACCAAATATAGGCACACCATATATTATAATCACCAGTAGAAAGGGTACAGCTTTCTTTCCTTTCTTTTTTGAACATGGAGGTGTTAGAGAATTTTTAAAATCATTATCACAAATTATACATTTAAAAAAGTAATTAAAAAACTAAATAGCATCATCCTTATTTATTAATAAAATAACACAACAATATTAATATATTTTTTTTTAGATCAAACCTTGATTCAAATTTTTTTACAGTTGTTGATTTTTCAGATCCAGTACAAAGAAGTTTATCAAGTATGAATTTGTCAGAGTTTTATAATGAGGAGGACCAAGAGCAGCCTCAACCATTACAGCAGCAGCTCTTTAGTGAACCATTATCACCGCAGCAACCCCAGCAAGAATCACTATATCAACAATTAAAAAGACAGCAAAAATTAGAAGAGGATTTTAATAAAGATTTAACATTTGAACATGATATGGAGTTACACAATCAAGAAAAAGATTCAAAATATTCACTTTTATCATCAACTAACCAATTAAAGAAAGCACAAGAAATATCTGTATCATTAGCCAATAGTTTTAATAGTAATAATAGTGGAAACAATAGTACAAATACGAGTTTCAATACAAGTAGTAATATTAATATTAATAGCTCCAACAGTACCAAATCAAATAATACCAACATTCTTAGTAGTTCAACATCTGTATTACAACCTCCAATACCATCAGTATCAACATCATTTAGTAAATCTACCAATGGTCTATCATTATCATCACTATTATCTAGATCTACATCACCAACATCACCAATACCAATTGAAAAAAATAATACATCCATTTCAACATCACCTTTACCATCACCATCAACTACCAAATATTTATCAACAAGTGTTGGCAGCGATAATGAAGCAAATAAAAGAGATAGCGATAACAACTCATTATCGACTTCACCAACAAATAAAAGAGCATTAAAACGTGAAATATCCTCAAGTATATTTGATAACTTTGCAAAGGTTAACCAGTTGGCAAAATCTGTACAAAAAAGTAATTATTTTCAATAGAAATTAATAAATATAAAATTATAATATATTAATATCATTTTCTTTATTTAATTTTCAATAGATATCTTTGAAGAACCAGCAAAGAAAATAGATAATCATTTTAGAAATTTAATTAGTGGATCAAAAACATCATCAATAGGATCACAATTATCACCACAGAATCCAAATAATCAATATTTTGATATATTAAATGAATCAACATCATCATTGAATGCATCAACCGATTATTTTACACCATTTAATATATCATCATCCAACTTTTCAATAGAGTTGGGCGTAAACAGAAGAGAATGCAATCCTTTATCACCAAGTGAATGGTATAGCTATTTTGATGACGAAGGAAGAATATGTTTAGCAAACCAACAAATATTATTAAAGAAAATATTCTATGGAGGTATTGATGATTCAATTCGTCAAGACGTTTGGCCATTTTTATTGGGTTTCTATTCATTTGACTCTACTTATTCTAGCAGAGAAGTGGTTAAATATGAAAAAACTCAACAGTACTTCACAATTAAGAGACAATGGGAATCTATATCATGCGAACAAGAATCAAGATTTTCAAAATACTCATCTAGAAAAATGCTCATTCGTAAAGATGTCATTAGAACCGATAGATTGCATCCAATGTTCGTGTATGGAGAGGATGATTTTGACCAAAATCCAAACCTAAAGCTAATGAATGATATATTGCTCACATATTCATTCTTTAATTTCGATATTGGTTATGTGCAAGGTATGAGTGATTTATTATCACCCATTCTCAACGTTATGAAATGCAAAGAGGTAGAGTCGTTCTGGTGCTTCAAGGGCCTAATGGATAGATTAGAGAGTAATTTCCACAAGGATCAAAACGGTATGCACACTCAACTATCAACATTATCAAAACTTTTAAAGTTTATAGATTTAGAACTATACTCTCATTTGGAACAAAACAACGGCGAAAATATGTACTTTTTCTTTCAGTCTATTTTAATTTGTTTCAAGAGAGAATTTTCATTTGCTGACGTCAAAACTCTTTGGGAAATATTATGGAGCAACTATCTAACTAAAAATATACCAATTTTCATGTGCTTATCAATTTTATTAAAAGAAAGAAATAATATATTGGAAGAAAATATGGCATTTGATCAAATCTTAAAATTAATAAACGAAAAATCAAATAAAATGAACTTGGAGGACATCTTAATTGATTCAGAGTCACTTGTAAAATATTTCATAGTAAAACAAATGTCTATAAACGCAGATAAATCATTAATAAAATTAAAAGAATCAATTTCAATTTATTAATAAAAATATTAGTAAATAAATTATTTATTTAAAATTTAAATAAATTTAAATCTATAGTTAATTTTATTTATAAAATAATATAATCATTTTTTAAAAAAAATAATTAAAAATTAAAAATAAAAGATAGTGACATTTGTTTTAATAATTATTAGTTTTTTTTAAATTTTTTTTTTTTTATATTTTCAATTTTTTAAATTAAATATTTAATTTACATATTTAAAATTTACATTTTTTTAATCACATATATTTAATAAATATTTAAATAAAGGTTTACAAAAAAAAATTGTGTTCTTATCCGGATTCAAAATAAAATATAAACATTCTCCAAATTATAATAAACTATGGGTAAGCTATAATAAAAAATAGAAAATTAAAAAAAAGAAAAATAAATAGCATAGTAAATAAAACCCACATATTATGGAATACTATGGGATGTTATACAATAAATAAAAATTTTAGGTATAACCTAACACCACCCACCATATTTTATATTTCAAAAAAATTAATAAAATAAAAATAAAAATAATTAATTTTTTTAAAAAAAATGTGTGTGAAATTAAAATGGTAGTGTGAACATACTAGCATTTTAAAAAGAGTCATAAGTTTGATAATTTAATAATTTTTATTTATTGGTTAATTTTTTTTATATAAAATTTTAAATAAATTGGATTTTTTTTCATTTTATTTATTTATTTATTTTTTACTTATATAACTTAAATTTTTTAATTTTGTTAACAATGGTACAAGTTAAACAGATTTTATTGAAAGATAATATTCAAGCTAGGGAACCAAATAAGGACGATTTCATTCAAAATACCGTCGAGGTAAATGAGTCAAATATTCCAGATGATAAAGTATTAGTCCGTTTAGTTGATGTCTCTGTAGACCCATATTTAAGAGGTAATAATTAAAAAAATATCAAAACTTTTTTATATCTTTTTATTAATTATTTTAATTTTATAAAAAGGTCGTATGTCATTAGGTAAATCATATATTGAACCATTTAAACCAAATGAACCAATTTTAAGTGGTTGTGTTGCTAAAATTGAAAAAGTTGGTAAAAACGTTACCAACTTTGCAGCTGGTGATTACGTTGCAGCAATGTTACCATGGCAAGAAAAAGCAGTTGTTTCAGTTGGTAAAGACTGGGTTAAGGTTGACCCTAAAATGGCCCCATTACCAAGTTTCTTAAGTTTATTGGGTATGACTGGTTTAACTGCTTTTCATGGTTTAATGGAAATTGGTGAACCAAAAGCCGGTGAAACTTTAGTTGTAAGTGCTGGATCTGGTGCAGTAGGAAGTGTATGTATGGTTTAATATCACTTATGTCAAATTATAAATTAGTATTATTAACAATTTTAATTTAATTGTTTTAGGTTGTTGGTCAAATTGGTAAAATTTTAGGTTTAAGAGTTGTTGGTATTGCTGGTTCTGAAGATAAAATTAAATTCATGGTTAATGAATTGAAATTTGATGCTGGTATTAATTATAAGAGTCCACATTATAAGGAAGAATTGGCTGCAGCTTGTCCAAAAGGAGTTGATGTATATTTTGAAAATGTTGGTGGTGAAGTCTCTGATGCTGTTTGGCCTTTATTAAAGTAAGTGTTTTTAAATTTTCAAATGAGTTACAATATTATTTACTAAAATAATGTTATTTATGTTTTATTTTAGTTTCAAAGCCAGAATTCCACTTTGTGGTGTTATTAGTGCATACAACAAGAGCGCAGATATTGGTCCACGTCTCCAAATTCCACTCCTTAAAACCAGTTCAAAAATGCAAGGTTTTATTGGTAAGCATATAGTTAATTAATTTTTATTATTTTAAATAGTCCAGGTTGTATTTACTATTTTTTTTCTCGTAGTATTTAACTATGCAGATAAAAACCCACAAGCTATTAAACAATTATCTCAGTGGTTAAAAGAAGGTAAAATTAAAGATAAACACACAGTTAACCAAGGTTTTGATAAAATTGTTCCATCATTCTTATCATTATTCAATAGTAACCATCTAGGTAAAATGGTTATTGAAATTTCCAAAGATTAGACTTTAAAGAAAAAAATAAATAAAGTTTTACAATAGCTTTTTTAGAAGGAAAATTTTTTATTTTATTTATTTTGTTTTTATATGAATGTATCGGAATTTAATAGTATATGATATATATACTATTATATTTTTTTTGGTTAGTTTTTCTCTTTAATTATGGTTCAAAGTGGTCGACGAGATGATCAACTATATCCCATCCTTCGCCATTAATTGACTCTCTTTTTACTACTATATTGGTATGTGATAAAAAGTTTTTGAAATACATATGGTAACGAACAAAATCTAATTTTCTTAGATTCTTTAAAATTCTTTTTAAATGTAAGTGATGTGTATCGTGAGTGAAAAACTCATCAATTTTACTGTCATCATGGTGATAGTGAGGTTTTTTTGTTGTTTGTTTGGTGTTTGATTCTTTATAGCCTTCATTTGAATCTTCATCCTCTTCGAGTTTTTCTAATACCTCTGGGTCAATATCCAAAATGGTTTCTTCTTCAATAACATGTTTGTATTTTTCTGTGAATCTAAATAAAACAATTTTAAAATATTAATATATAGGTGGTAATTTAAATTAAAAAAATAAAATAATACATACTTCATAGTTTTGCCTAGTGTGTATGGGTTTTTAGCAGAAATGTCAGAGGTACAAAAATTAACTTGGATATCGTTGTAAATATTAGAATATAGAACACGCTTTCTGAATTGTTTAAGACCCTCAAAGAAAATACCCTCAGTCATTCTAACTAGCAATGGCAATGGTACACTTTGGTCATTTGTAATAATTTCATTTTCTTCTTTTTTTTCAATAATGGTTATGGTTGGGGATCCAGTTTCTGTTGTTGTTGATGTTGCTGTTGTTTCTGCTGCTGTTGGTGATACTGTTGTTGTTTTTGGTGAGTCACTTTCTAATGAATGTAGATCATTTAAAATTAATTGTTTACCGGTAACTGATAAAAGGTTGTCAACAAATACATGTGCAATTTTATTAAATACTGTTGTACTTGGTCTTCTACTTCCGCAATGCGGTGATGATAAACTTATGAATTGGTCAGGTTTACAACGTTCGAAAAAACCATCTCTATATAATAGTCCAATAGCATATCTTGTAATTAATCCACCTAGACTGTGTCCTATCATTGAAATTTTCTCTGGATGATCATATTGCTCATATAGTTCTAAAACCTCTTTATATAATCTTGTACCAATTTTATTTATACCGTCATGTGTTGCTAAAAAATAACTATTGCTTTTTGCAGATATCTAAAATAAAAATAACAATAATAATATTAATAAAAATATTTATTTTTTTTAAAATTTTAATATTATTTTAAAAGATACATACAAATACACAATTGTCATAGTTTTGTTTTATAAAGTGATTTTTAATTGTATTGAAATCTTCGAAAGTACCATGTAACCCATGTTGTAAAACTACCAAATGATTAATTTTTTTTTTTTCCTCGATATTTGGTGAGGAAGAGGTGGAGGTTGTAGTAGTATTGTTGTTATTATCCATTTTATATCTATTATCTTTTTGGATTATTTATAATTTATTTATTTATTAGAATAAAAAAAATAAATAAATTAAAATTTATAAAAACAATTTTAATTATTTTTTTTTTATTTTTTATTTTTTATTTTTTTTATTTTTTATAATTTTTAATTTTTTTTTTATTGTGATATTATTTTAAATTCATTTAATCGCGTCATGCTAATTTGTACAAATAATAATGGTTCTTTGCATGCACATTAAAGTTAAAATTTAGTTATTAAACATAGCATGCTAAAAAAATATAAAATATAAAATATAAAATTTAAAATATAAAATATAAAATTTAAAATATAAAATATAAAATTTAAAAAACTTTTTATTTATTTATTTATTTATTTTATTAATATTTTTCATTTACAGTAATTTTTTTATAAATCATATAGTAATAGTTTAGAGTTTTTTTTGATAATGATGGTTTGGAGTTTTCACCAACAAGTCTATAGCAAGCATTACAGAATAAACCGTTCCATAGCATTTCATAGAGTTCAGTATTGGTTTTTTTAATTTCATCGAAATCTGGTAAACAACCAATTTCTTTTGCCAATTGATCAGAATGTATAACATGGTCAACAAATGAAAAATGTTGGTTTTTTATAGAGTTGTATCTAATTTCATATTGTTCTTTTAAATTTATGTCAAATTCATCTTTTGCAGCCAATTGTTTTTTACCACTAAATACCAAACAAGCGAATCTAGCCATTAGCTCCAATGCTATATAATAAAGTAATTAATATTTAATAATAAATAATAATGATTAAAAAAATAATAATGGTCTATACTTACTTGTATAATATGGTGTATTTATTAAACCAACAAAAGCAATATTTTTTAAATTTTTTGGGAAAACTCCTCTGTATAATATACATGGTTGGTTATAATCGTCTGGAATGAATTCAATATCTTGAAGAATTTCAGTATCTAAAAAAGATAGATCCAAATTATAACCATTGCATAATATAATATCATCGAATTCTAACGATTTTAAATATTCATTTTTAAAATATCTATTTCCATTTTCATCTGGTGAGTTTGATTCGAGGGTGATTACTTTTCCTTTACAGTCACTTAAAGAGTATCCTTTTAGTATTTGAATCTTCCCTGATTTTATATTGGATATGTATTCATCACAGGTGATAATACTGTATGGAGGCATTTCGAATGATTTCTTAAATTGAAGTTGTTCACATTCGTGGTTGTTTTTTGATAGTTTTTGAAAAGATTTATTTAAAAACTTGTTATATTCTGTGTTGGTCAGTGATAAATTTTCATAGTTTTGGTTTCTAATATAAAAAACAAAGTCAATGGGCATCTTTACTTGGGCTCCATTATTAAGGGTCAAAGTAACGTCACGGTTAATTACCCATTTATCTTTTTGGCCTCTTATTAGCTGATGAACGCTGTGTGCATGGTTTGTTAGATCTGTGCATATGTGGGTACTGCTTTCTGAATTGCCAACCACAAGTACCCTTTTGTTCTTATAGCTTTCTGGTGATTTATAGTCCTTGGAATGGATTAGCTTTCCGGTAAATGCTTCAAGTAGTTCATCTTTGTCAAATTTTGCTGGTTTATTATTTATACCACTACATATGATCACTTGGTCAAATACTCTTTCTTTTAATACCGGTGTTGCACTTTGGTCAGTTGTATCGGTCCATTGAATTTTCCATTTATCATTTCCTTCTTTTAAGACCTTTACTACATTACTATTAAACTGAATATATTTAATTAAATCAAAATGCAATGCATATTGATATAAGTATTTGTATAGTTGTGGTTGTGTTAAGAAGAATTCATCTTTTGTTTCTTCATCATCTTCAAAGGGAAAATCAGAGAATACACAAGATAGCTTACTTATGGTGGTTTTTAATGAGTTCCAAACTTTTGTATTTTTTGTGACCCAGATACCACCCAAATTTGGTTCTTTTTCGAATACCGTTGGTATATAATTATTACCTTCAATTTCCAAAACTGATTTGCAAGAAACTAACCCCCCTGCCCCACCACCTATTATAGCAATATTTTTCATTTTTAAAATTTATTATAACAAATACTAGTACAACTTAACATATATACTTTTCAAAAAAAAAAAAAAAAAAAAACAAAGAAAAAAAAAAAAGAAAACAAAAAAATGAATTAATAACAAATTAACAAATAGTGATTTTAACACATAACACTCTTCTGTAATAAAAAAATATAAAAAAAAAAAAAACAAAATAATAAATAAATATATCATAAATATTGTGTTGGGTGACATATTAATACTTACCCCAAAAAAGTTTTTATGTTAAAAAAAAATAAAAAAAAATAATAATCCCCACAAATTATGGAGCGATAATAATGAAATTTAATGCTTGCACTTAATAATTTTTATCTATATAAATATTTTTTTATTTTTATTTAATTTTATTATTTTAACAATACAATTTTTTAATATTTTATTCGTCATTATAAATTTGTTTTTTTTTTTTTATTTTCTTAAAAAAAAAATACATATACTTTTATTTTAAAGAGTTAATTGTGTTAAAATTTTTTGAACTAATTGAATAAAAATTTGAGAGGCTTCAGGTTTTGATTTTAATTGTTTTAATTCTTGAATTATATTTTGTTCTTTCATTTTACTAATGATAGAGTCATCAGCTAAGGAGAAACCATAGATGATGGCGAGAACAGCTTGTTGAAGATCGTTACTATATTGGCAATTTGCTTGTAATTGTTGGAGTAATCTTTGATGATTTGGGTCGGTTGCGGTAACTTTTTTCTCTCTTTCTAATTGTTGGAATGTAACCATAGAGACTTTAAGGGTTTCGATGAGGTCAGTTAACCAATCATTACGATTAGTAATTAAATCTTTATTATGTTTCATACAGTAGGCTAAACCTTTGGCGCCTTCGCTTTGAAGAATTGGGAATGGAGATTTTAATAAAGTATAAAATGGTTCGATGGCTTCTTTGATGAGGTTGTCTTTTTTATCATCTTCAAGACCAATTTCTGCTTGATTTTCGACGAATCTTAGTATGATTCTAGTTGATTCATAAACTACTCTCATATCTCTTTCTTTTTTCTTTTCGTTTTCTTTAGTTTCTTTGGTCATATTATCTTCTTTCTTTTGTTCCTTTTCAATTGATTTCTCTTCGACTTCTTGTTGTTTCTCTTCAAGCTCTTCAATTTTAGCATCGTCAAGTTGTTGTGGAGCAGAATTGGCTTCAGCAGACTCTTCCATACTGGATGGTATTCTACCATTAGCTAAATCGAGTAAAGATTGTAATGCATCTGGGAATTGTGCAATAGTTTTAAAGTTTGATTGAGCAGAGCCAACGAAATTCTTAAGTAATGATACAGCGGCGAATTGAATGACTTGGTTGTGTACCTTCATATTGAATACAACATTTTCCATTAATGTATTATCTGGAATAAAACCTCTGTGGACAGTTGGAAGGGTTAAATTTCTAATGCAGGATAAACCAAAGTGTTGAATTGGTTGATAATTTGGGAACTTTTTCATGAGTTCAGAGGTGATACCAATAACATTATATGAGTTTAATAGTTTGCAATTCATTTCGCTTCTTGCAAGGTTACCAATGATCATTGATCCATTAATAATTCTTTCTGGGTCTTCAGATGGATCAGTTAAAAGGTCAATAAATATTTTTGGGGTTTTGATAAACTTATCGATAACTTCATCTTCTAATGAACAAAGTGCAACAGTTTTGGTAATATTCTTCTTTACTTTATTATGATCCATAATCTTGAATGGTGCTTTATCGTCGCTTTCTGGATATTTTGGTGTTGCTGTGGTCATTATTGTAATCATTCTGTCAATAATATTTTTATTACCTTTACAATAGAAATATTGTCTGTAGTCATCGTTATCTGCTAATTTGAAAATTAATTCTGATGTTACTGGTGCAACTGAAATATCTTTATCTTTTTCAATATCTTCAACTTTAAATTCATTAATAATTTCTCTTTGTTTTTCTGAATTTTCAATTAACTCTAATAAATTATTTAAAAATCCTTCTTGTAAAATTTCTTTTTGTAAATCCTCTAAAAATAAATAAAATTAATACTATTAGTAATTTTTTTTTTTTTTTTAATTTTTTTGATTAAAATAAAATTACTTACTATTTTGTGATAAAACTGATAATGATTGAACTAAATCTTGTGCAAATGAATTTTCATAATAACCTTCATTATTAAGTGATTTTTGTAATGAGTTAAATAATCTTTCAACTTCTTTAAAATGAATATTCATTTGAGTTTCCTCTAAAATAATTTTAAATTTAATGGATTTAAATTTTAGTTAGTAAACAAATTGCATTGTATTTAAATATAGCTTATTAATATTTACCATTGTCAATAATATTACTAAATGCTTTAATTGCCATTTGATTAACTTCTTCATTTGAATTTTCAGCGCAAATAATATCAATTAAAATTGAAACAGTACCTAATTTAAAGAATTCAAGTTGAATAAAGTCTAAATATTATTAAAAAAGAATTATTTAGTTAGTTTAAATTTATATACATATATAAATGGTTAAAAATAGTTTATCAATATACGAACCAGTTTCGGAAGAAAGATTGGCAATTGATGCACATGCAGTTCTTTGAACTGATGAATATTTTGATTGGTTAATTAAATAAACAATATATCTTAAAATTGATGGGAATTTGTCAAAAATGTATTCTCTATTTGGCTCGTTTTCATAAGTTAAATTACCAATTAATCTGCAAATCATTGAGAATAATTCAGCATCTTCTTTTGTAATATCTTTTTCGAATGATTTTTCATCGTTTGGTAATAATAATTCGAATAATTTTGATGTTTTTTCGATGATATTGGATGGTGATCTAATAATAGTTTCTCTATTATCTTGAATTTTTGATAAATCTGCTAATGTCTTGTAAATTAATGTATTCTCTTCAACATTATTTTTATTTATTTGAATTTTTTTAATAATATTTTCAACTGAATCTTCTGTAGCTGATTCTATAATATTATAAAATGAATAATAAAATAATTAATAAATATTCTATTTTAAAATTTATTTTAATAATAATAATAATTTATATTACCTTGAGTTGATTTATCTGAACCTAAATCATTAATTAATTTTCTAATTTCTTCCATATTTTATATATATATAGATACTATTTAATATCTATTGTGAAAATTAAAAAAAATAAAAAAAAATAAATGAAAGTAAATGAACACAAAAAAAAAAATAAAAAATAAATTTTAAAAAAAATTTAAAAAAAAATATTTTTTTATAATTTTTTTTTTATAAAAACTTTCAAATAATTTTTTTTTCATTATTATTATTTTAATTAAAAATAAAACTAAAAATAGAATAATTAAATAAATGTATATTATTTCTACAAAAGAATAGCAATGGAAGTAATTAAATAATTTTTATATATACACAAAAAATATAAAATAAAAATAATAAAAATTATTTAAAATAATTTATTTAAAAAAAATCTTTTTTTTTTTTTTTCCAATTTTTTTTTTTCTTATTTTTTTATCATATCGATTAATATTATTTTTACACAAACATGGATAGTTGTTATAATAATAATAATAATAATAATAAAATTGGTAATAGTGATAATAATGGTTTAGAAATATTATTTTGGAAAATTTTTAGAAATGTTTATATAAGATCAATTATATTTGAATCATTTTCACCATTAACGACCATCGAGCTAAATAAATCAAATAAATATTATTTAGGCTATAAAATATCTTTCAGTAAATTAAATAGTTTAAAATGGTTTATTAGAAATAAAGAAATTTCATTATTATTGGATTTCATAAAAGGTGGTAAAGAAATTATTGCCACAGTGAAAGGAGTGCGTCTTTTCTTAAACCGAGTCCATGATATAGAAATTCTATACAAGGTTTTAAATAATGTTACTTTTCAAACTAAAATCAAACAAAAACTAGATTTAATTAAAATTTCAATTGAATTTAACAATTTAAATGCTATCAAAGTCTTGTTTGTGAAATTCTCGTTGGAAGATGGCCTTGGATATGAAGAAAGCGATGTTGAAGATAAATTCTACAATTATTTGTTACAATGTCAAGATGAAACAATATTTAATTTCATTTTTAGTCAAATGCTTACAGAAAATAAAATAGATGTAAATAATATGAACCCAGGCCAAGAATTTTTAATAGAAAAAATATTTCGGTTTTTATTTGAGGCTAATTATTCTTATATTTACAATAAAATTCCAATGTTTTTAAACTATTCGAAATATATCAGTATGGAGGGCATGATCCAATCCCCCACTGCTTTTTTTCTAATTCAAGATCTCGAAGTTATGAAAAAAATTATAGAACTAAATATATATTGTCCCAAAGAAGCTCCAAATTCAAAAATCAATCTATATTTAAAAGACTACAAAAAAAATTATAAAGCAATTATTGAAAGATTACTATTTTTAATTCCAATTCTATTCAAGTACCATCATAAATCTGGTTTAATGTCAAATGAATATAGAGCAAAGTTAGATATGGCCGGAGACTATTTAGTGCAACACGAACATGGGCATGAAGATAATCAAGTATCACAAAGAAATGAAATCAACATTGCTAAAGACCTAATTAAAATTATAAGTTTGGAGCAATCAAATTGTAAATTTAAATTATATATTATTGGAATTCCGAGCATAATAGGTGGTGTCCAATTTTATGTTAACGATGATCATTATATCTCAGTTTATCAAAACTACTCATCAATCAAGAGGGTATTTAAAGATTTAAATGTTGAATACTTAGATTTAAATTTAAAAAGAGATATACCTTCTTTCACACACAGCACTTATTCAATTAAAGAACCAATCGATCTCAATAAGCTCAAGGTATTTATTCAAAAATATACAAAATTTTATCAGCTCCCATTTAGTTTCATAAAATCTATCATATCCAAAGCAAATGTAGACATTTTATCATCCCTAGCAAGTTCCAACTCTTTGTCAATTAAAGACTTCATTGAAAATGAAAACTGTTTTTATAACACTTCATTTGAAAAATTCAAATTATTTATCGAACTCAAATCAAATAATAATGGAAATTACAAAAGTAAAAACCAAGTGGTACTTAGGCCTCAGTGTTTATCTACAAAAGAAGAAATTCAGTTTGTTATGAAATATAAAAAAGATATTAAAGTTGAAAAACTCTATCCAAGTTACTCATCTCTAGAATTACTTTTATTTTTTTCAGACAATTTACAGTTTTCTTCAAAGATCCCAACATTTTTAAAAGATTTCAAATCATCAAGTGACAAGTCCATAGAGAGTAACTCTAATGTTCAAAATATCTTAATACCTTGGGTCAAACATTTGAATACATCCAAATATGCCTGTTTTAATATGCTTTCTTTTAGGGTATTGTTTTTAAATCTATTAGAAATATTTACAAATGATCAAGATTTAAAAAAATATGTGATTCTTCAATTCTCAAATATACCAACCCAATTCACAAATTATTTATTCATCTCCTCAATTTTGGATTTCAATTTAAGAGTTTTAAAATTATTATTCCAAGATTACAAAGGACAATTTAAATTTGATTTTGATTTTTTCAAAAACCATATTCAATCTAGTCAATTCAAATTTAAAACAGCATACAAAAATTGTAAGGATTTAAACAAAGTTTTACAAGTATCCAGATTTTTATTTGAAAATGTATCAAAAAATGAAATTAGAGTAATGGAGCCAATATTCACAAATCTTTATCATAGAGTGTTACTTTGTAATGGTATAACCTTGGAAAAGGTTTTGGAGATCAAAAAAGAATTTGTAAATTACGGTTTATTCGTGGACGACAGCAAGCATAATATTCACCTATATCTATCAATTAAATCTAAAAGATTTAAAAAATATATTGATAAATATATTGACAAAGCATCATCAAAAATAGAAATCTCATTCAAAAGTCTACTATTAACAAATGTTTCAAATCTTTCTAAAACACAATTAAAATCAAAATTGCTAAAAGAATACTATTCAGGTTTATCTTTGGAAAACATTATCAAGTTGGATTTCAATAGTTTATTTATTATTTTATCAAATAACAATAAAATTTCTTTTTCTTCAAATATAGATTTTTTAATAGAAATACAAAATTTGGTTTTATTGGAATCATATTTAAAATCAGAGTCATCATCAAGTTTTAATATTGATATTAATAAAATCGAAAAAAAATTAAAAATTTTTTTTGATTTTAACTATTACAAAAACATATTATTAGAAATTAATAGAATAAAAAAATAGTATATTAAAATAAAATTTAAATAAACAATTATTTATTTATCTAAAAAAAAAAAATAAAGTTTTTTTTTTTTTTTTTTAAATTTTTTTTATTTTTTTTTTAAATTTTTTTTTCATTTTTTTTTTTTCATTTAATTAAACATAAATTTATAAATAATAATAATAATATGACCGATATAGCAGATTCTATACCCGAAAATTTAGAAAATTTAAATTTAAATGAAAATGAAAATGAAAATAAAAATAGTAATAGAATAAATAAATTTGTTACACCAATGACAGTTGGGGACATCGAATATTTACCATACAAGGGCGAATCACAAATACAAGAGCTAATGAGCCTTATCGAAAGGGAATTACCAGAACCATATTCAATTTTCACATATAGATTCTTTTTAAATCAATGGCCAGAACTTTGTTTTTTAGCATATTGCAAAGGTGTTTTGGTTGGTGTAATCATTTCAAAAAAACAACCCCATAAATTATTACAAAGAGGTTATATTGGTATGATTGTCGTAGATAAAGAATATAGAAGAAAAAAGATTGGTAGGTTTAATATTATATGTCATATATAGAAAAGAAAATATTAATATTTTTACTCCACCACCAATTAGGTTCAACACTTGTAAAAATAACAATCGAAAAAATGATTGAAATGAATTGTGACGAAGTTGTTTTAGAAACCATTATAACAAATATTCAAGCAATTTCTTTATACGAAAATTTAGGTTTTATCAGATTAAAAAGATTATTTAGATACTATACTATGGGTGCCGATGCCATAAGATTATTTCTCCCATTAAACGATAATTTTATACCACAATATTACAACTAAAAAAATAAAGAATATATTATATATAAAATGTATATACCAAACAAATTAAAAAAAAAAAGAGTATCTATTAATTTATATACAGGTTTTTTATTATTTATTTAATAATAATTTATTTTTTTGAGGGGGGTCTACCACGACCTCTTTTGTTTGGTGTACCATTTGTATTTGATGATAGTTTTGATGTTTTTGATTTTCTATTCTTTGGTGGTCTACCTCTTCTACCTTTTTTAGGAGTTGGTTTTTCTATTAAATTTAAAAATTCTTCGTCATCTATTCCCTCTTCGTTCTCTTCATCGTCGTCGTCGTCTTCTTCATCATCACTATATTCACTTTCATATTCTTCATCACTATAATCACTTTCACTATTTACATGTTTTTTTGATTTGTTTACTTTCTTTTCTGGCTCTTCATCTTCGCTAATATAGTCATCATCACTTTCTTTATCGTCTTCTTCATCATCATCTTCTTCGCTGGTATAGTCATCATCTTTCTTTTTCTTTTTCATACCTCTTTTCTTTGGAGTTGGTTTTTCTTTTGGCTTTTGTTGTTCTTCGATCGGTTGTTGCTCTTCTTCGTCCCCAAGCAATAAAAAGTTTGTTCTTTGTCTTTTAGATACAGATGTATTGTTTTGATTTAATTTTCTCTTTCTACCAGTTTGGTTATCATCATCATCATCATCATCATCATCATCTAATGATTGTTTCTTTTTATTATCGACATAATCTGTATCTGAATCGCTGAGAATACTTTTATTTTCTTGGGTTTCGCTAGCAAATGAATCATCATCACTATTATTGTTTGATGTAGCGCTAATATCATTATCGGCAGTGGCACGAAGTCTTTTAGAAGTGGATGTAGGTGAGTTTGTATTTGTTAATTTCCTTTTCTTTTTATTGGGATTTTCTTCTTCTGAGTTTGAAAAAAGAGATCTGGAACTTTCGCCATTGTTTGTATTACTTTCATCATCATCGGATGCCACTTGGCTACCTTCATCTAGATCTGCCTCGGCTGATTTTAATGTAAATGAATCAAAACTACCGCCACTTTGTAATAGAATTTCGGATGGAATAAAGTTTGCTTCTTCTTTGAGAATATTTGAAATCTTATGGAAAACTACTTTGGAGTTCTTAGCAACCATTGTATTTGGTTTATTATAAATATATGCATCAATCATAATAAGTTTAGAATCAAAATAAATGGCATCTAGATGTCTATAATAGTTTGATTCTAATCTCTTGATAATGGTTCCAATATCCATTGGATGTGGCACAAATCTAATATATAATGGATACAATTCCAAGTCAACTGGTTCACTATATATATCGGTAATTTCATCTTCTTCAACATATTGATTTAATGCTTTTAATAAATTATCTTTGGATTGTTCTTCGATTACTTCGTTATCTGGGATTGTGATTTTTAAAATTTTATCTTTAAAGTTATTAATTGTTGAGGTTGTGCTTGTTGTTGTTGTCGTTGTTGTCGTTGTAGTTGTTGTAGGAGAAGTTAAACTATTATTGTAATCATAATTATTATTATTATTATTATTATTATTATTATTATTATTATTATTATTATTATTGTTATTATTAATATCATTATTATTACTAAAATTGTTATTATTAATATTTATATTGTTATTAAAGCTATTGAAACCATTAGTTTGATTAAAATTATTAAAGTCATTTGGATTAAAGTTGTTATTAAAATTGAAACCCATTTGATTTGGGTTGTAATACAAGTTTGGATATTGAGTATATAATGCATTCATATAATCTAAATTATTATTACTATTGTTATTATACATTAACATGTTATTCATATTATTATACATATTATATGGTGCATTGTAAACATTGTTTCCTAAATAATTATTCATATTGAAATCTACAATACCTCCATTATTGAAATTTAAATTATTATTCATATTGTTGGTATTATTAATATTGTTATTTCCAACGGGGTTATTATTTAAATCTTGATTATTATTATTATTATTATTATTATTATTATTATTATTATTATTATTATTATTATTATTATTATTATTTTCTTTTTGTTCTATATTCTCCTCTTTTTGTTCAACTTCTTTTTCACTTTCTTCTTCTGGTTGCTCTTTTAATTTTCTATTCTTTTTTTCAAAGTGCTCTTCGATTTCCCAGTAACTAACTCTATCTTCTTCTTCGGTACCGTCCCATTTAACTTTTAATCTTTCCCAAGGACTATCTGGAAAGTGAGGATCAGATTCGGATATTTCAATAATGGTACCATTATACCAACCATTTGAATCTGGATAATACATTTTGAAACGTTTATCGATGTGCCAATTTAATAGTAAAGATTTTCTTACTTTTGAAGCCAATACTAGGTAGTCTGGTATATCAGATACATGATAAATTGTGGTATATAGTTGTGATTCATCATCTAAATCCTGTGGAGGAACCTGTTGATCTAAAACTGGTAATAATGTAACAACAACTTTATGGACACCATCACTTGAAATAAAGTATTTTAAATTCTTAATAATACACTCTTGATAACAAATACTAATTTCGGGTTCTTCTGATTCATCTTGGCTGTAATTATTATCTGATGGTTCTGAAATAAAATTGAAAATAGATTTTTCATTTAATTTTCTTTCTATTTCATTTTGAGGGAATTTCTCTAAATACTTTTGATGACCTTGATAAAAATAGAAAACGAAATCTCCAACTTGTGGTGTATAAGATGTTTCATATGGTGATAATTGAGTGATCGATAGCCATTTTGGACATAATGGATCTTTTTTCTTTTTAGAGGGAGTAATATTGGTCGATGTTGTTGTGGTGGTGGTGGTTGATTTTGGCCTGCCTCTTGATTTAGTCTTAGATTTGTCGTTTTTCTTTCTACCTCTTCTTTCAACTCTTTTACTTGATGGTGCAGATAGCGATGATGTAGATCTACCCTTTTTATTCCTTCTCTTTCTATTAGAGTCAGAATAGTCAGATCCAGAAATACCTGAACGAGAGCTATCATTTGATTCGTTTGAACTATAGCCATTTTCATTGTCATCATCATCATCATCTTCATTTTCATCGCCATCACCCATTTCAGAATCATCTTGGTTGTAAGAGTCACCATAATATCTTCTTTGTTGTTTTAGGGTTAAACGTTTATTTGAGATATTTGAACCGCTAGCTTCCTGTAAATCCTCATCTGATGGTAAATCAAAAGTATTCATCATTTCATCAATTCTTGATGGGCTTGTGTTACGTCTTGTGAATTTTCTAGTTTGTCTTAATAGTTTTTTCTTTCTCTTTTCAAATTTCATCTTTGAATTACGTCTAGTTGTAATGACAGATTCATCCTCTTCCTCGTCGTCATAGTCTGAATCTGTGACATTTTGTTCTGAAGATGATGAACTAGATGATTCATCTGGGCTGAAATCTTTATCGGATGGATCACTAAGAAACATAATGTCATCTTCAACAATCTCTTCTTCGGTATATTCCCATGGTCTTCTTGTAGCACGTGGTTTTGAAGCTGGTTTCTTTGGAGGTGGTTTTGGTTCAGGTGGAACATAGATAACAATAGGATGAGATGGCACATTCGATGGATTACCTTGATTGAATGTATACATCTCACGTGATTCAAATTCTTTTTGAACTTTTAAGTCATATTGATAGTCTGCAGAGTTCTTGTATGGTTCTAAATTATAGATTGCATTTAGGTTGGTAAAGTTAAAGTGATCTGGATATGGTAAACCTTGATAGTTTACCAACATTGATCTTGGCATTAAATGAGGTGGAGTTTGAGTAAGCTCATCCAATACATTTCCATTGGCATCTCTGATTAGAGGATGATAATCTGTTAATAAATATTGTTCATTTGGAACTAATTTCTTAAGACTTTCGAGATCAGATCCAATTCCCAATTCAAACATAAACCATTTGCCTAATGAGTTGGTGACAATGAATTTTTGACCATCTGGAGAAAAAGATCCATCTAAAATTTGACTTGGATATCCTGGCTCTTCTAAAATAAACTTTTTAATGATTTCACCAGTTTCGATTGACCAAAGAATAACTTGAGAATCGTAACCTGAACTCATTATTAAACGTGGGTCAAGTGGGTGACATGAAGTAACGTATACCTCTGAAGTATGCTCTGTCATTTCTAAATGAAAACTACCATCGATTGAATTCCATACACGAATTGTATTATAATCGGTTGTAATAATATACTTGTCGTCTGAAGACCAAATAACATTTTTAAATGTAGCTTTTGATCTTGATACCTTCTTTTGGGTTGTAGGTTGATTTGGACGTGTGACATTTTTGATATTGAACATTACATGATCCCATTTCGAACCACCTGCATGTCTCCAAATAATTACTGTACCATCATAACTGCCTGAAACTATTGCATCACTCTTATTACTGTATTGAAGCGCTAAAATTGTAGTTGGATGGCCTTCCAAGGTATTAACTAACTTTGGTGGATTAAATAAAGTTGACCAAATCTTTAGTGAGCAATCAACACTTGCAACAATTAATGTGCCCCCTTTGTTTAATGTTGTACCTGTGATTTCATTGCTCTTTGTTTGGATATTTGGAATATTATTACCATTGTTATTGGTGGATGGTACTTCAGCATCATCATCATCAATCATTAAATCATTATTTGAACCTGTTGGTGAAGCTGTATTATTAATATTTCTTGTTGTATTTATAGTATTTGAACCTCTAGTTGTATCATTTAATGGTAAAGAGACGGCATGGTTATTTTTATCGATATTCCATAATTTACATTGACCAAAAGAATCACTACTAACCAATAAATGTTGGGTTGGATTTGATGAAAATTGAATGCTTGTAATAGTATTGTTATTAGATGGATCATGACCCAATAGTGACGTTATAGGTTCGTAGTCATTAGAGTCTAAACTCCAAATTTTGATAACATTATCATTGGAAACCGTTGCTAAATAACTATTATCGAAACTTGTGCACATATCTGTAATATCACCTATATGACCTCTTAATGTCGCAATTAATCTACCATTTTGAGTGGACCAAACTTTAACCAAATGATCATCTGAACCTGTAAAATATAATCTACCTGATTTATCAAATTTTAAACAATAAGTTGGAGCTTTATGACCAAATACGATTAAACTCTGTAAAAAATAAAAAAAAGAATCAATATTTATTTATAACAACTCTCATATTTATATAAATACTTACATTATTAAAATTTTCATAAAAAGTAATTGGCAATTGTTTTGTTGATTTAATTGATTTATCTATTAACTCTTGACCAGTTAATCGTAATGAAATTGGTATGTTATTATCGTATGGGTTTTCAATATATTGTAATGATGTTGGTACTTTATATCTATTCTTTTGTATTGATATTATATTTTTGAAATTATTAATGTTTTCTTTATTAGACTGTGATAGTGGTTGTGGTTGGGTAATTTCAACAGTTGTAATTAAATCTGGTGATTGGTTTGTATTATTACCACTTGGGTTATTGATAATATTATTTGCAACGTTAGTTGGTGAGGTTGTAGTGGTGGTTGTGGTGGTTGTGGTTGTGGTGGTTGTAGTTGTCGTGGTTTGTTGTTGGGTTGGTGACTGAATTATTGGGGTTGTTGGTAAAGTTAATGAATTTAAATTTGTTGGTGAGGTATTATTCGCTATAATATTATCAATGTTTTCTTGTGGTGGTGGAGGTTGAACCAATGGTTTATATAAACGTACAACTTTTATTGTTTTTTTATTATTATTTACATTATTTATTACACTATCATTATTATTATTATTATTATTATTGTTATTATTGCTATTATTTGATAAATCTGGAGCTTTTAAAGTTTGTAATTTTGAGGTTATTTCATTTGAAGGCGGTATCATTGAATATAAATTATCACCTAATAAGGTATTAGCTTGAATTGGTAAATTTGAAAAATGTCCTTTTTGGGTTGCTAAATCTCTGTAGCTTTGAAATATTGATTTTATGTGATCTGCTTTAATATAACTATATTTATTTTTCTAAAATATAACAAATAAACATATTAGTATTTAATATTTTGTATTGATAGTTATAATCACCTACAATTTCGTTAAATGTAAAATTCTCATCCTGTCCTAACCAGTTTGTTTTTTTAGGTAACAAACTGTTGTCATTTAAATTATTAAATAATGATGATAATAAATCCCCCTCGATACCCTGACTGCTTAACCAATAGTAAACTAAAAAATTGATTTCTTTATTTATAATTTTATCATCAACCTCTTTATAAAATTTTGAATTATCTTGCATATAAAAATTATTTAAACTACTATTATTATTGTTATTATTATTGTTATTGTTATTATTATTATTATTATTATTATTTTGATATTGAATATTTTGTGATGAATTTCGTAAAGGTGATTGTTTTTGTAATGGTGAAGTTGCATTTTGCGATGTACGAATTGGCGATTGTTGTGGTGTACTTAAACCATTATTACTATTGTTATTTATACTATTAAAAATAAAATTTAGATTGCTACTACTACTATTAAGATTATTATTGTTATTATTGGGTGAGGTAGGAGATGTGTTATTTGTATTTATATTATTATTATTTATGTGTGTATTTTCTTCCATTTTAAATCACACAATTATAAAAAAATTTTAAAAAACATTTAATATATTTAAAAATAAAATTAAATTAAAATTTAAAAAAAAAAAAAAAAATAAATAAATTTTAAAATAATAAATAATTTTTGTGTGTATATACGATATTATTATATTATTTAAAATTAAATAAAATGTGTATATATGTATATGACGAATATATATATGTGTGTGTTATATTTGTATTATTTGAACTAAATTGGTTTAATTAATCAAAAAAATTTAAAAATTTAAAAAAAAACAAATATAATTATATAATTTTGAAAAAAAAAATATAAAAAAATAAAAAAAATAATTAATTAAAAATTAAAAAAATTTTAAAAAAAAAAAAAAATTTTAAAAAAATAATTTTTAAAATTTTAACTGATTTTTTTTTTTAGTTTTGGCGCATGTATAAATCCTGTTATTGTACTTTATTTGTTTATTGCATTTTTTTTTAATTTATGTATATTATATAATTATTAAAAGTTTATTAAATAATGACAACTAAAAAAAGAAGTTTAAACGAAGATTCATATAAAGAAAATAATGACAATAATTTATTAAATAATTTATTTGAAGAATATGATAAGATAGTGAATGTAAATAGAAACGGAAATATCAACGATATAAATAAAAGCAATACCAACAGCGCCCAGCAACAAGAAAATAAGGATGGTCAGGATAATAGAAATTTAAAGAAAAGAAAATTTGAATTTAATGATAATGACGAAAATAATAATAATAATAATAATAATAATGACGATGGTACCAATCAAAATAATGATAATAATAACAACAACCAATCTCCAACAAAAAATCAAAATATACCAAGTGCTACACCAAAAAAATCAGAATACTTTAAATCATTTACACCATTTAAATCAAGATTTTCTATTGCAACTACACCTACCCATAATAATAATAATAACCCATTCAATTCAATGTTACTAAAAAGCAGTTCAAAAAAACCAAATAAAACTCAAGTTGAAAATGTTCATGTTCCAGAATCACCAAGTATTAATAAGTTAACTGGTAATACTATCATTCCACTAAAGTTTGTTAGAAAATCAATTGCATCGTCCCAATCGATTGAAGCGTTACTCTTGAAATCGTCAAGTAAACTAGGGCAACAGTCTCAGCAAGAGAATGATAACGCCATTGATGAAGATGATATCGATACAAAATATTTCACAGAAACTGATCTAAAGAAAGCAAGACAGTTCCTAGATAATGAAATTAAAACTGGCAAGAGTATAGATCAAGGTGTATCGTCGTCCTTTGGTGGTGGCGCCAAAGACAGTGGTGTTAATGATGACTCTAGTAACATTAAACAAAATAGTTTTCAAGAATTTGAGACCATTACCTTACAACTCGAAGAAAACCAGCAATCTTCTATGGAGGATGGAAATAAAGAGCTACCATTTTTCCCAATTGACTTTAGCATCAAATCTAAAATTCAGTTTATATCATCTACAACATTTGACTGGTGTGGTCGTTCATTTAAAACAGCATCGCAATGTGTAAAATCAATAAAGCAGTTCCAATCTATCAGTACTGACCAATCTTCATTATTATGCAACTATGTGGATAACACCAATGAAAGTAAAGAAAGCAAATTTATAAAATCACTGTTTTACTATAGTCATCCTCAATCAAAGCAATTACCATGGGACATCAGTGTACCAGTATTAAGTCATGAGGTCATCAAGCACCAGTGGATGTACAAGAGATGGCAGGAGTTCAATGAGTCATTTGACTCTATTTACAATAGCTTCAGAGAGAACGAAATCAACTATTTCTATTTAATCAACGACACTGAATTTTCAATTTTATTTTTATCCAATCAAATATATCCAGGTCAAAAAGTTATTATCAACTCATCCACACCTAGATTAAGAAACTTATTAACTAAAGAATCTGTAGTTTGGCGAACACCATTTATAAATTCAAAATTAGACTCTATTGATCTTTCATTGGACCACTTACTCAAAAAAGATCCTAAAGATACACTACATATTAAAAAAAAGGTTGTAGATGCAGCATATTACCAAACCTCATTGTCATCATCCCAACTTATTATTGAAGGCGAAGCTGAAATTGACAAGTTTTACAAGATTTTAAAAAAGAAACTAATCTGGTCCTCAGACCCGCTATTAAAGCAAATGCTATCACAGTTTTCAACACCAACACATTCCAATCAACTATCATACTCACAGCCATCAGTTAAATCACAAATTATGTTTACACCAAAAAAATCAAGCTCTTTAAATAATATTTTTTCAACATTAGAAGCTGAACAGCAACAACAACAACAAGATGAATATGAAAACAATAATGAAGAGATTTTTATGTTGCTTTGTAAAGATGTACCACAATTATTATCTAAACAGCAGTTCATTGGTAGCACATTACAAATTAACAAATTAACAGCATGTGATCAATTTACAAAAACTTTTGAATCCTCAAAAACTCAATTAGAAACAGCTTTTAAAATTGATATTGAAGGTCCAATTTTACCAGATACCTCCATCGATCTTTTAAAGTTATTTTCGTATCGTTATAATGAATTTCAGTGTAATCAAATGTCACATCCAGTTACCTATGGTTTTAATTTTAATAATTTTAAAGATAACACTAATGACAGCAATAGCAACAACAACAATAGCATTATAGAGAAATCTTCAAAAATTTTAGATAGAAATATTATATCAAAGATTAATTTTAATAACAACATTTATAAAATAACTCCAAAAGGATAATTTAATTAAAATAATAACTCATCAGTAAAATATATTTATATGATGATATTAAATAACAATGTATATACTTTAAAAAAAAAAATAAAAAAAAAAGATTTTATAATAAAAAAATAACCCACAATGAAAAAAAAAAAAATTTTTACACAATATGTTTTTTACTACATATAGATAAAAAAGAAAAAAACCATTACAAAATTAGATATATGCTATTTTAACCTTATAAAAACTATTATAATAATTAACGGGATTAAACTGTTTTAAAAAATAACAACATTTTAAATCTTTAAAATTCATTTTCGCTTATTAATGTTCAAAAAAACAATATCAACATATGCATAGTTTAGTCTTTTTTTAAAATAAAAAAAATAAAATTTCTTTATTACTCTTGTTTTATTTATTATTGTGAATGTTATTGATAAAAATGTTAATATTAAAAAAATTTCTGTGTAAATTATATACTAAATAGTTGTTTCTATTATAATAATATTTAAACCATTTATATTTATTTTTTTTATGATATTGTGTAGTTTTCATACGTATTATAAATGGATTGAGTATTTTAAATTGTATTTAAGATTTTTAAAAAATAAAATAATTAAATCCCCACAAACTACATATATAGTGTGTATATAAAAAATAAAATAAAAAAAAAAAGTGGGAAGCATGCTTTATTCTCTATTTTATTTTTAAAATTAATTAAATAAAAGTGTATATATACAAAATTATTTATTTAGGTACTCCATTCTCATATGTAAAAAATTGGGTTATTAATGTATTTTTTTATACATTATTATAATGTATTTTTTATATTCAATACTATTCATTCTTCTCTATCTGTATTTTACTATGTAAGGATATGTGTTGCTTGTCTATCAATTCATGAGTTTTTTAAAAAAAAAAAGTATTTCAAGTGTTAATATATGCAAATATTTTTATATAAAAATATTTATTTTGCTATATGTGGGTAAATTTTGTGAAAAGGGGTAGATTCAATTACACACAGCAAACCACTTATGCTCATACTACTAATTTAATTTTTTTTATTTTTTTATTATTTTATTACACCTAAAGACACTTGTGTTAAATTTGTTTTAAAATATTTTTTTGTGTGCTATGTGTATATGGGGGTGTGTTTCAAAAGATAACATTCGATTTTTAAAACAAAAAAAATTAAAAAAATAATAATTTTATACAAAATAATTTTTTTATAATAAAAAATAAAAAATAAAAATAAAAAAAAATAAAAAAAAAATTATAATAATATTACGTATTAATATCAAAACTATGTATTATTTTAATTAAAAAAATAAATTGGATCATGTATTAGTATAGTTTGAGTGACTATGTAAAAATTAAAAAAAAAAATAAATTATGTTTTTATTATAATAATATTTTTAACAATTTAATAATTTATTTTTTTTATTTTTTTTTTATTTTTTATTTATTTTTTTATAATTAATATTTAAGTTTTTTATTTTTCTTTTTTTTTAAATTAATTTTAATACCAATTCAATTTTGAAATTTCCTTTATATAGAATTTTTTTTTTTTTTTATTTCATTCAAAAATTTATAAAAAAACAATAAACAATTAAAAAAAAAATGTTTACTAATGTAACTATTATTTATTTATTTTTAGAAATTTTATGATAAAAATATAGATATTAATATTTTTATTATTTTTCTTTTTATAAAACTATACAGAGTTTAGCTAGATGCTCACTTCTTTCAAGTAATAA